ATTATTTAAATTATGATTTAATATTTAAGAGGTACTTGATTTAATTATATAATCGTTTATGATAGTTGTGACATTGTAAACATTTATATTGTCAACTTTGGCATCAAACTCCAGTTTATTCCAATTACCGATGAGTGTTGTAATCCAATWGGTGTTCCTAATTTTAAGATTGAACTGTGGAGTAATATTACACGTTAACCTACTAAAAATATTTGCATTGACCACATAAAAAATTGTATTAATTCATTAAAAATTGTAATATGATTTTTATTTTTTTACAGGAAGTTGGTAGTATAATAGGGAAAAAAGGAGAGATTGTCAAACGGTTCAGAGAAGAGGTATGTATACAATTCATCTAACACTATTCTTTCCCTCGCGTCAGATTAATGCGGACCATTATGGAAGATATTAATCACGGGTTGATTTAGAAATGGGGTCGTAGAATTGAGTTCAGAAAGGTTTCGRAGAATAGTGAAATTATACATTGTGTGAAAAACTGAGAAACATTTCCGACAGTTTCATCCTTAGACAGAAGTATACATTTCTTTTGTGTTGATCGAACTTGGCGTTTTTCAACTGATGAATCTTTGCACGTTACTGAGATAAACTTTAGAATATTAAATTAATTATAATYATAATAATTAAAAACAATAAATTAAAAGTAAGCGCGAGTATAATGAAACTATTTTTTTATTTTTTTTAATAGTTGTAACATAAAATATACAGACTATACAGTGACAATGTATGTATTTCATAAAATAAGTAATTCATTATCAATTATGTGAAATAAAATAAGATAATATTATGATTATAAATTTTGTTTAAACCATACTCTGCAGAATACTCTTATTTATTATCTAACCTAATAAACTTAAATTCTATAATTACATTTATACAATTATAAACTTGTAGAAAATAATCCTAGCGCCATGCCAAATAAGGAGGATAATACGTACGTGTCTGATAACCAGTATTTAAATCTATGATATCTATCATTACCTAACATACATGAGTATGCCAAATACTTATATATTTAAAACATTATAGTCAGTTATTCATTGCTTTGGTAAAAAATTATATTATATATATTTATGTTTTTATAATATGGTTGATTATTAAACTTATTAACTTAAGTTTATAATATGTCTATTAGGTTAACTAACCTATACAAACTACCTACAAACTTATCAACAAATTTACCTACTAACAAAGATTAACTAGTGGCATTTTAATACATACATTTTAGCTTATAGTAGCCTTCTAGCATTACTTACCAATGTAATTAAACAACGTCAACGTGAATAGTTACTTTCAATTTCAAAAATCCCTATTATGTATTTAAGATGTATTGTATTATTCTCAAAAGTATTTTCGGTATCACCCTCTCCCCCACAGTAAAAACAGTAGTATTTAAATATTAATTAAATAACTGTTGGTTGTTAATTGTTATCGAATCGAAGTGTTTATTATTAAATTTTTTACAGTCTGGTGCCAAAATCAATATATCAGATGGCTCTTGTCCTGAAAGAATAGTGACCATATCAGGATCTACTGAAGCCATTTACAAAGCATTTTCTTTAATATGCACAAAAGTAGAAGAGGTAAGTTTTTCGCGTATTTAATGCTTGATTGGATATTATTTGTATTTTGACAGCYAATATAATTGATCAATAAGTTTGTTCCATACGTTGTATGTACATTTTGGCATTACTCATTTTAGTTATGGTTCAAAGGCAGATTTGAATGGTAATATTTATTATACATCAAGAAGGCCATGTCAAAATAAAATGGATACATTTTTTGTTTTCCCAAAATAAAAATGTTTAAAATTAGGAATGAAAAACAAATCAAGTAATCGAAATTCCAATACTACAAACTTTAAAACTTGGTCTGTTTTAAAAATAAATTTCTCAACAATGTTTTATTTTTAATTTATTGACATTGGGTSTTCTTGCAAAAGCCACAGATTTATAAATTACATTTTTAATTATTTTATTGATCAATACTKTATGCTTACTATAGTTGGTATTTGTTTTTATTTAATTCCTACTTATTTAGAGTGAACACTTGGATGAGCATTTTGAAAAAGCGTATAAAAAACTATTCCAGCAACACTGCGCACCCACACGAATTTTCAATAATCCCAAATATATGTTTTTAAAACTTTAAAACAAATATATTTAATAYAATTTTATTTATTTGTATATAATATAAATTATCAACTATYGAGATTATTTAAATAGAACTCYTTTTTAACCTTCGCACCAAACAAAAGATGTTAAATTGGATCCCCCTCCCCTAAAATGTAGGTATAGTAAAAATTAGTTAACTTTTTTAATGAATATTGAATACATAAAAATKTTAATATTACATTGTWTTATTTTTTATTAATTTTATCAAACGATTTTGAATAATAATAATTACAAATTTTAAAGAATAATTATACCTATAATTTATTATCTATTTTATAGTTTTATATTTTATCATTATAAAACATTTGCCCTACAACTATTGAGTAAAAAATGTTATATTTACATAAA